CTACCAATCCATCGATCTAGAAACGCCTAATCTAAATATTGTCGAACACGTAATGCGTAATGTGGTGGGGCACCATCATGTTGGAAAATCAACCTATTCGCAATGTACTGCCGATCATTCTGATTTTCAATTATGGCTGTTAATGCAGGATCTATGGCGCCTTCCAGTAATTCCAAATACATTTCACCGGTCAAATTTCCAGGTAAGAAAAAAGGATCAACTAAATGATCGCCAAAAATACCAGCCCAAACGTTTAATTTTTGTGACTGCTGTGTATGAACCTCATAATAAGTTCTAGGATTAGAATCGGACCAATATCGGCAGTTATGACGATTAACTACGCCATTTAAGAAAAAGGAACATTCGTCGGAAAAGCAAGTGTTGAATAGAAAATTTTAATCGTTTATAATTCGTTCACTCATATCTTCACAAAATTGTAATCGCCGATTAAAACCGTCTTCATTAAGTTCTTGTACCAGGTGAATTTTATACGGATGAAAACTATGGGCCTTTATAATCCGTTGGACAGTTCCTCGACTAACACCACACACAGTCTCCAATTTGCGGGTACTTAACGTATGATCTACATAAACTTGCCTTAAAACCCTCACTTCTATTGCTTCGTTCCTTATGGGATTTTCAATGTTGCGTTTTTTATTGGCGACTGACCCAGTTTTCCGAAGTTTGGCTACAAGTTCTAGAACATATTTTCGATACACGTTACTGTTCTGATGTCGCTCATTAAATATTTCTGCTGTTCTATTAGCGCACTGATCATTTCCGTTTTTCCAAAAAAAAAACTGAGCTGCCAGTAAATGCGTCTGTTTCGTTTTCGATGCGCCACCCTGTATAGCTCTCTCACCATCAACCATCCCAAGGCTCTTGAGGGACCGCTTATATGGTCACATTTTCTTAAATTATTTATTAATCTGCAACATGAATTTTGATTTTTTACTAAGAGTTAAAGAGAGATTGTATCTAAAAATGGATTGTAAACTATATTTAAGTAATTTTGTACATATTTAATGATTCACATAAGATTTGTTTAGTTTAAAAATCGAGAATTTGCTTATTCAGATACAGTTTAAGTAGGATCGGAAAGCAGCTTTTAGTAACTTTGTTTAAATTAGGTATGAACTTGAGATACTCATCAAAAAGAATTCGCAGGCTTTTGACTGCTTTGTGGTTGTAAAAAAACACTTTACTTGAGATCAAACATCTGGAAATCAACGGAACTACTTGGGATATATTAAAACAGTTTCATAATGATTGAGTGTTGAATTGTCACGTTTCTCCTTGGAATTATTAGCAACAACTCAGTACTGTTCCAAAAAGGTGGTATAAACCATATATCAAAAAAGAGTGTTCTACATTTTGACATACCCTGTAGAAACACAAACATACTTTTGATATTTCTCTCAGATCAGCTTATAAATAGGCGGTGATAATTTAATTAATCAAAGATGTACCTTCAAATATGGCAGTGCTACGAGCAGTCAAATTTGGGCATTTTTTCAGTTGTTCCACTATATGAATCATATGAAAATATGCGAGTTCTATTAGATCATATCCATTATAATGAATATGGATGGACCATCTGTGCAGCTTGAAAGGGAATAGCCCTACTTGGCATGCAACTGGGATATACCAAATATTGTTTACTTTGTGAATGGGACAGTCGTGCGCGAGATCGTCATTATGAACAGGAGTTTCCACTACGTCAGGTATTTATTAACTCCGTGCCTCAAAAACATTGCTCATGAACCACTAGTTGATCCCAAAACGTGTTGCTTCCACCTTTGCATATTAACTTGGGACTGATAAATTTTTTGTGAAAGCTATGGATCGGAATGGAAGAGGGTTTCTGCATTTAAAACAAATATTTCCGGGACTTAGGGCCGATTTCACCAACATTAATATTATGGACCAATGGAAAAATATCTTATCGAAATGCAATTTGACGGAAGCTGTCAAAGCTCTCAGAATTTCAGTGATTTCTATTGAAATATTGAATAAAATCGTGAAAATTCGACTGTATTATAATCAAGACCACTTTTTGATTCCAACATGATGCTCTTGTACAGAAAAAACAGAACAACTTTCATGTATTTAGATATATGTTATAGGTTTACATTTAACAATCCGTTATCCCCCTCAGCGAATGGGAATGCGGCAAATAATAGGTCGATTTCAATATACTGAAAGTTATCATTACATACCCGTTCAATAGTGTGGATTTGTCTGTATTTCGCAAGAAAATAGATTATAAAATACATTCCATCCAATTCCTCATCTTCCTTTACATCATTTATTAATTTATGGGTTAATGCATTTCTTCAAAGCAATAAAAACATGATGTCCTCTCCATCCTAAAACACAGATAATATGTGTAAGACGTGTCAATCCCTACATCTCTCTGATGCATAATGCAATTACTATGGACATAGACAAAAAATTATGAAGAATGTTTCACAGATAATGGCTTTTAAGTCCAAAAATCAAAAAAACGCAGGGTTGCCAAGTCTAACGACGATCACGTCCCGTGGTGGAGGGTGCGAAATGAATCTTTTACATTTGCTGGTTTTGAATATTTTTCGTGAAAATTTACCAGGTATCATGATTATAAGCATATCTTTGGTAGATTGTTCGATCCGGAATGGGAAAGATCCCCTATTTATGAAAATATTTTTGGTATCATCTAACCGTTGCAATCAGTGCACAAACACTGTGACATATGATTTATAGCATAACCCGCTGCCCTATCAATACAAATTTAACATACAGGTCGCCAAGCCGAGGGGATGCAGTGGTCGGGACGAATATCACGGCAACAACTGATGATTTGGGCATGTCTGGTAAGAACGTATGAAGTGAAACTCGCTAACTTCACAAATTTGAAGATTTTGTACAATTTCTTATATGTCTGATTTGGCAGGGTAATGTCGCAGCCAAATGGCAGTCACTCTTTCTAACACAGTCCGGATCGAAAGATGACGATACTCGTGAAATGTATTGATACTTCTAAATATAGGATCCTATCGAACATCCCTACTGTCAAGATGTATAGCCCAAGGTACCGACGGAGCTATTTTGCGGCGTCATGGAAATAATTTTAAATTTTCATATGCATTTTTTCAAGTGTTGTGCAATGATTTTGGGAAAAATGTCACGAATAGTCTTATAAAGCATAGTAGAGTATATTTCAACAGTTGGCGGAACTTACACCACTGGGACCAGGAGGGTGAAACGGGATATTAATGCACAATCTGGCAACCCTGTCGCACCCTCACAAAATTGACGCTGACAACCACACAAGTCACCGTGTTGTAATTGAATAGCATGGAATTAAACCTTCAGAGTATATATGTTTTGTGACTGGTACCAAGAGTTAACAGATCCCACACATGTGTCACTCCTTGAAATGCAATAATCAGCTGTATTCAAATAATGTCTAATATAAATATAACCTAGAATGTGTACTCGTGAAAAGAGAAAAATATGGCAAATTTGTAGCTTTTTTGCAGGTTTTATAGGTTTGCTGGTAGCTTTAACGCATATATTTGGGAATTTCTTAATCGCTGTGAATATAGTGTGGATGTTTGTCCAGTTCCTGAACAACTAAAAATATTCAACTTTAGGGATGTATGGATATCAAGAAACCTGAATGGTTTTGTGGGAATATTAATCTAAGGTGCCATAATGGTTCCGATGAACGGCAAGTAATTAAACATGAATTTATTCAAAAATCTGTTACCCTATAGGTGGAGAATAACGGACTGTTCTTGATGAAATTGGGCCTTAGTGAGGCAAAAATTAAAGAGGGCTTATTCGTGGGTCCACAAATAAGGAAAATCATGAATGATGATGTATCTGACAGTTCTCTAAATGAAACTGAATTACGAGCTTGGAATGCTTTTAAATCAGTTACTGCAAATTTTTTAGGCAATGTGAAGGCGGACAATTATAAAGATATTGTGAGTGAACTAATTAATGCTTATAAAGGAATGGGATGTGACATGTCTTCAGTAGAAACATATCGCCGTAAAACATCGGCAACAACATTCTGAGATTAATTCGAGTGTTTATTAGTACTCTTATACACATATCCTTATATTTTACGAGCATAAGCAGCCAATAAAATGCCTTATTGTAAGAAATCCGAATGCTATTTTCGGCTTCTTGGGTGCGTTTCACATAATAACCACCTCCTTTTGTCCATGCCACAAAAAATATTTTAATTTTGTTCACCAGTGTTACTGAAACCTTCGAAAACCAAATCAAAGAGAATGGAAACCCTATACTTGATGATGTTGAAATATATTTCCAGCAAGGTGCTCCTCCTCACTATGTTCTGCCGGTTTGGAAATGGGTGGACGACGAGTTTCCAGATAAATGGATAGGGCGACGAGGGCCTATAGCATGGACCGCTAGATCTTCTTATTTGACGCCATTAGACTTTTTCTATGGAACCATTTGAAATCTATTGTGCGTACCCCCTAAGTTGAAAGTTTGGATGAACTTCGTCAACGCATCATCGAAAGCTGCCATGATATCCCACAACATGTCAGTCAGGAATTTGAACATCGCCTATATCATTGTTTGGCCAATAACGAGCAACATTTTACACACCTATTTTGTCTGAGCAAATTAAGTTAAATAAAGATTTTACTAATTTCCTTGAAAAAGCAGAAAGAGCGTATACCTACATAATCTAATCTAATTCTTTAAGCGAAGTGTCGGCATCGCGAATTTAGAAGCATCACACAACGTTCGCGAACATGTTTAAACACGCTTAAGTTGTGTAACGCCATATTCATGAAAATAGTCAAACAGTATTTTAATACTTGATTCGAATACATGGATTCAGAATCCTGTACTGACCAAACAAGCATTCAGTCGAACACAGAAATGTATTTGAATACCAGCTAAATGTATTCTGAATGGGAATACTGAGTATTCGAGTATTACCTAACTCTGACAGTCACATTTTTTTGACGAATATTTTAAACGGTAGCTCAAAGTTAACTATATATCTAACCGCAAGCGTCTCTTTCAGATCCATCCGTGGACTCCACACGTCCTAATCTACGAGTCCCCATACGCTGTTCCTAGTGGGCTAGTTGGGGTACAGTCAGCGATGGCTGTTCGGGCAGCACCCACCTTATTCGTGGCAGGCAGATTGCGCTTGCGCTGTAGGGCTCGATTACTGGGGCTATACGACTCCAGCGACTATCTGGATGTGCAAGAAGATGCGCCTCAGCTAGCTCTTGTCATGGTACATGACGTCACAGCAGGAGCACAGACAATAAGGATGACAGGTATGTTGACATTAGAACGATCGGTGACTACGAAATTTGGATATTGACTAATTTGGCAGGTAACAGGTAGCAAGGGAATATAAAATGAAGATCAAGTTCGTTAAAGTATAAAGCTTAGTTTTTTGATGTTTTCTTTAGGATGGTAGTTCTTCAACCCCAGCCAAATTTTAAAAGATTAGAGTTAAGCTTAGTTAAGTATAACAGGAAAGTTATGGATGTTACTTGGTGGACTATTATAAAATATCCCCTCCCCCCCAGCAGCCAGGCAGTTTTAATGATTTGCAAAAAAAGTCAGCAATGAAAATAAATAAACCTAACATAAATATCCCGCCTAAAATATGTAACAACAGTCGATTTTCTTAGAACCTGTGTCTGAAAATGAAATAAAAATGCCATTTACCGTTTGAGAAATAAAAAAAGCCCAGGCCTTGATGGTATACGAAGCCCTTGACGTACATAGCGAACTTGATAATTGAGTCGGTAGAAACTCCAGATTAAACGTAGGAGTAACCCATCCACCAATCCGATGAAAAAACAGATACTAATAATTGCAGGCCTATAACTCTAATATCTAGCTTTGCAAAAATTATTGAGAAAATTATAAAAACACATCTACATTTTTTTGATAAACATATTCTGAATAATGAAAAACAATTTGGATTCCAGAAAAACAAGTCTACCCAAGACGCAATTTGATTTTTGACATCAAAATTATACAAATTACTGGACCACAGTGAATATACCCTATGTGTGTTTTTAGATCTAGCAAAAGCATTCGACACAGTAGACCACTTGCTACTATTAGAAACCTTACACGACTCAGGAATTAGAGGCAATGCTTATAACCTCATGAAAAGTTACCGTTCTAACAGAACACAGTGCGTACAAATAAATAATTCCTTAAGCACAAACAAATTGATAACGTATGGTGTCCCACAAGGGACAGTGTTAGGTCCCTTATTATTTACCTTTTACATAAATAGACTGCTGAGATTAAAATCTGAAGGAACAATCATATGTTTAGCAGACGATACTGCTATCAGTTATTCGGATAACAATCCGTGGGATGATCTAAAAGTGAAGGTTGAAAGAGACAATAATTGCAGTCTGGTTCAGACAAAAATGCCTAACTATTAACTTTCAAGTAACAATTCATCCTTTGTATCTATACAGATTAACTGTGATAACATAAATATGTACTCAAATAAATTTAACAAACAAATAAAATATTTAGGTGTATATTTATACTCACGTTTAAAGTGGAATATACATATTGATCATGTAATAACCAATTTAAGACCATTATTGTTTAAATTCAAGTATCTAAATAAATATTTGAATAAAAAAACAAAGAAAATTTTATATCATGGTATGATCGGAAGTTACGCAATATTAGGTTGGGGTGGAGTACTTAATAACCAAATTGATAAATTAGAAATTATCCAAAAACAATTTTTAAAAATAATCTTTGATAAACCACTCGTATACCCATCTAATCCGTTGTATTCTGAAGCAAAACTATTATACCCTACCTAGGCAACAATCTTTTTATAAAATTATAAATTATCAATTTCACCACAGAAATAATCTTATTCCGTTCGATCACTTATAACAAACTAGAAACAAAATCAACAACATTAAGCAAACACCTTTCACCTCAAAAATATAGGCCAAAGATGTCATACTTACCTTTCCAGTAGATTATATAACATATTACCAAATTATATAAGAAATACTTCAAATGAAGCAAAATTCAAAACTGAAATCAAAAAATTTATAATAGAAAAACATCGACATCAAATTGCAAACATGATACGTATGAAAGAAATTTAAAATTCATGTAATAGTAAAAATCCTCCAACGCTCATATACTCGTATATGTGTGTATGTATGTACAGGTGTGTAGGTGTGTATGCATAGGTTTATATGTATATATGTGTATGTATGTGTATATGCATCTATTTATGTGTTTATTTATATGAATATAAATATATGCATATATATATGTGTCAATGTTTTATCTTTGTTTTTGTTTACCTGCCTTAAAATGTTGTCTTTTAGTTTTCATGAAGAAATCAATTTCTGGGAGCTGAGTAGTACAGATATTTTTAGTTGTCGCCCTTTCATTTACTAGCGTTAAGCATAACAAAATGTCTTGAGTTTGAAGGGTCCAAATTATCACCATGCTAGCGACTTTGACAGCGGTAGAATTATTGCTTATCGAGATGATGGTTTCTCCTATCGCCAAATTGGCCGTCGTGGTAATTGTACTGCAATGGCGGTAATGCGTGTGTCGTGTGTGGATAGAAGAAAGTAGAGGAACCACGGAGAAGGCCAACTGGTCTACCGAGTCATACCACAGAGCGCTAAGATAGTAATTTGCTCAGTATTATATTATACAATAAACAGTGTTTTTATTTTTATCAGAAAATATCATTGTATAGAATCATTCATGACCAAGGAATCAATTTTCAAAAAGTAAAATCAAATTTTATGTCCAAAAATCAATAAAAATTCTAGTAAATGAGTCCATAGTATCCTAGGGTTTTGTTGCCTTTTTTGAACAGTTGAGTTGTTTACTGTAGGAGGGAACCAGGGAGGGAATATAATTCTTTATAGTAAGAAATTAAATTAAAACATAGTAAAGTAACAAACATTCTCATATTATGATATTATATTGTGAAAAAGCCTTACTGGATGTAGGAAAATGTTTAATGATTTTCCTCATTGTCGTCGATATCTTCTTTATTTTCGTCACTAGTACTCCAGTCCGTAGCTTGATCGCCTTCTCCGTATGTTAAAATTATGAATAATAATACAGTTATGTATAATGATTTTACATAATAATTACATACCTGATATAAGGCGTATTTTTTAATTCACCGGTTGGGCCACCGGTACAACCAATTATCCAATTGTACTTCCTTTAATTTCCAACTGAGCGTCCGGTTGTACACCAAAATTGTCTATCAGCTATGTAGACAAGTCCAATCTCCCAATCTACTAGTCGAATCGCAACCACTCATAGAGTGTAATGCTGGCAAAATACGAGAACTGTTTTTGCCAAGGGAGTGAGCAGCCAAATGGCACCCCGAAAAATATTTTTTCGTATAAAAGCCTTCAAACCATAAACCTAAACAACCAAAAGTAAATTCATCCTTGAATCGGCTTCTAAATGGTTCTTATTTAACCCAGGTACTTCACTGTAATTTAAAACATTTTGTTGGCTCATCAAATCTGCCACTAATACATATATCTTTTTTTACTTGTGCAGATCTAGGAGCAGCAGTATAGATACATCGAACGAGATGTAACTTACTTTAGTACAAAGAAATTATTACAATTAGTTGGAATTTTAGTGTGATCATTTGTAATTATGATTTTTTTTAATATTTTGACCTTCACTCCGTAAAGTTGATTCCAAATATTTTATCAAAATATGGGGTTGTACAAAACGGACGCAGGAAAGTAAACGCATATTAAAACAAGAAAGATTGATATTCAAATCAAGTTGGGTACTTTATTTTGAAGGTTCATTTATACCGTTTATGTATGAAAAATAATATCGCTCAAATGTTCACCACGACTGGATTTACAGACGTCCACGCGATGGTCGAAATTTTCAATGACATTTTGCAACATGGTCGGTTCTATGGCATTTATCTCGGCAATGATGTTGTTTTTGAGTTCTTGGAGGGTGGCTGGTTTGTTGACGTAGACTTTGCTTTTCAAATATCCCCATAAAAAGGGAGTCAAATCGCACGATCTTGGTGGCCATGGCACATTTCCTCTGCGCGAAATCACGCGATCACCGAAGAAGGACTGCAATCGATGGATATTGACGTTGATTGTGTGGCATGTTGCACCGTCTTGTTGGAAATAAACATCGTCCATATCCATTCCTTCAAGTTGCGACAAAAAATAGCCCTCTATCATCACGTGATATCGCTCAGAATTGACGGTAACGGCGTCCCCGGCCGCATTTTCGAAAAAGTAAGGTCCGATGATGCCTTTTGACCACAATGCACACCACACAGTCACTTTTTGAGGATGCATCGGCTGCTCTTGATACTCACGGGGATTTTCGGTCGCCCAGATGCGGCAGTTTTGCTTGTTTACCGTCCCATTCAAAGTAAAATGCACTTCGTCGCTGAACATGATTTTTGATGAAAAATTGGCATCAATTTGGCGGTGTTCAAGGTGCCAATCTGAGAACGTTCGGCGCGAAAAATGGTCGGCCCGACGCAGCTCTTGCGTCAATTGGACCTTGTAGGCGTGTACATTCAAATCCTTGTGGAGAATTCGGAGCAAACTGGTTCTCGTAATGCCCAATTCTTGGAATCGACACGTTGTTGACTGTTTCGGATCGTCTCTCACACTCTCCTTCACAACAGCAATATTTTCCGGTGTGCGGACGCTCCTTGGCCGGCCAGAGCCTGGCAGATTTGCCACAGAACCAGTTGCCTCGAATTTACGCACCAGACGACTGATGGTTGTTTCGTTTGGGCGATTGTTGCGACCGAAATGTTCACGAAGCGCGCGAAACGTGTTTTTTATTTTTGCACCATTTTTGTAGTGCTCTTGAATAACTTTAATGCGGTCTTCAATCGAATACGACTCCATAGCGATCAATGATAAACATTCAACTAACAAAATGACATGTCGGTGACAGAAAACAAAGATGGCGTCTATGTCAAATTGACGTTTACTTTCCTGCGTACCTATTGGACAACCCTTTAGTATCATATTTATCAAATACAATATCACATCTTCAACTTCTGTGTAGCACAAGGTTGTTGGCCAAAAGCTTTCAAAGAGACCGTGGTTACACCTATATACAAAAAAGGAGATAACCAACTAGTAACGAATTACAGGCCAATATCACTTTCAAAAATATTCGAAAAACTACTAAAGAAAAGATTATTGTCCTAAAAATACAATATTAAATCTAACAAACAATATGGTTTCAAAGATACAGTATCTACAGAAGATGCTATTTTAGCAGTCACCTCAAAGATATATGGTGCCTTGGATGAAAATAGTCGTAGCCTCTGTGCATTTATTGACTTATCGAAAGCGTTCGATACAGTCAGTCATGAGTTACTTTTACAAACACTAGAGGACATAGGTACCAGAGGGAATTTGCATAAAGCCTTTTGAGAGCTAGTTATCTAACCGTACCCAGATTGTTATATTAGATAATGAAGTGAGCGACATAAGAATGATTGAGTACGGAGTGCCGCAAGGCACCGTTCTAGGGCCTATACTATTTAATATTTACATCAATGAGAGAGTGGATTTGCAGATGACACCGCTATATTTTACAAAGCAGTCACTTGGCAAAATCTCGAATCCACCGTAGAGACTGACCTACCAAATATAATGAGATGGCTCCAGCACATGCTATTAACAGTAAACTGGGAAAAACATGTTATATCCCCTTTACATGCAATAAATCTATGAAGCCATCGTTTAGTGATATAAGTATCAGTATAAATGGGAAACAACATTCAATTAAGCCACAAAAAAGTGCTAAGTACCTTGGCGTGATTATAGATGAACATCTGAAGTGGGATAAATATACAAACTTCATCTGTAAAAAGTTGCGTACGGTTCTCTCAAAACTCCAATGCATGAAAAAAATATTGACAACCTACCAAATGGAAACCTTATATCACGCTTTAGTGGAAAGTTACATAAGGTACGGCATAGTAGCATGGGGAGGAGCTTTGAAGACTTATATCCTCCCTGTTGAAATACTTCAAAAAAGAATATTAAAACTAACATATTCCAGTGAGCCAAGATTTCCATCTGATCGTTTATACAGTGAAACTAACAACCTAAATATTCGACAGACATTCTGTTTCAAAATTGCCACTAAATATCACTGTAATAAGCAGGTCTATACGCTTCCAATATACCCATACTCAACACGGCAAAAACTCACCATGTCGTACCATTTTTCCAAAAGTGTGTAGGACAGCGTTCATATACTTATATTGCTCCTAAACTGTACAATAGTCTTCCACCACATCTGCAACGCATCAACAACTTGGCGCCATTCAAGGAAGCGTTGAAGCAATTCATTTTGAACCAACCACGGGGATCAATAGAGAATGTACTACATTATCAATCTATTGTAGAGTAATTATGAATCTGTATTGATCAGGTTACATACATACAACTACCTGTATATTTGTTATGTCTGTGTGATAGGTTTCTTTTATTAGCCTCCTTTTTTTGTTAGTATTATTTGTGCGATATTGTGTTACAGCGTTTCAATCATTCTTATTTTATTACCATTTCAGCTTACGATATACTATATATGTATGTGAGATTACAATGTGTTTTTAGTATGGATATACAGGGTGACTTCGAAGTTGAGTCATTTATTTTAACAGTGAGTAGATCTGATCAAAAGAAATGTTTTTTTCTTTTAACATTTTTGTGGTAAAATTAAAGTAACGAAGTTATAGCCCTTTAGAAGTTTGAGTACCGCCCTGTCTCAATAATAATATTATGTGCTCGTGTTTGGCGACAACGGATATACTCCGCCTTATCGGTTCATCGCATCGGAAACAAAAAAGCGAAAGAATTTGAAACGCTGATCACGATGTTTTTATTCAGTCTGTGTCAGTCGGTAACGCGTGAGTGAATAGTGGTGTTTGCTGCGTGGCTCAAACGAAATAAAAAATGGCACATATTTATGCGGATCGGTTTCCCAATCGAGTGCAACCAACCCCTCGTGCCTTTGTTAATGTAGTACAACGGGCTCGTGAATCAGGTGACTTAAGACCTCACAGGGGACTGCATGCCGGTGCTCCAAGACCTCACAATCAAATGCAGGTCCGCACTGAAATACTTGTCGGGAGTATACTTTATAAAACAAGGTAAAAATTTTTTTTTAATTTTCTTTTATTTTTACACACATATTTTGGTTTATCTTCCTTCTACAATCATTATCTGAAAATTAATGACTCAACTTCAAAGTATATCTATATAGTTGGCAAGTTGGCCGGTGTAAATATTCCGAAGCGCGCGGTTTTCTTTGCCATCGAAGGAATTACAAGCCTTGACATACTTTATGATATTTTGAATATCTCTGAATACGGAAAAATAAACCGTTAAGCACCAACAAATATTATCTACTGACTACTATAAGTGCTATGACACATCGACGCGCGGAGAGGGATGAAGGACACGGAAAAGAGGGACCATCACAGCTACCGGCAACATGTTTTCATTTTTCTGAGGGGTCTCAAGTAGAAGAATTTGAACATAGTTACCGGTCCTCACATTTTGGAGACCCACTAATACGTTAGTACTATTCAGTTACCACCAATAATCTATCAACTATCAGTCGAACCTGAATCTAAGCTTGACCTCACCTTGTACAGAATATAAGGGGTGTTGCGTTGGGGTTTTCCAAGAAAACGAGGTTGCTGTAGAATGAGCACCTTTTCACTAATTTTTCTTTTTTTCAAGGTTCGTGGATGTATCTACACCTTTCTCACATCATGGTTCTGATCTGCTTACTTGGGGCTCGCAAGATGCTGTAATTTTTGGGCTGGAATCTCCGTGTAATGGTGATCCGACTGATAATGTGTGAGACTTTCTAAATGAAAGATTTGTGTGTATAACTCCAAGAAGACAGTGTTTAGAGCCATATAAGTTGTGTATAATAAATCCGATTCCAATATGAAGTCATGTAGTTGCTTTGGATATCTGATGCAAAGTAACAATACCAGTGAACAGGTATGAAGAACTTAAAGTGAAACACTTTTGAGAACCCAATCCCTCCATCGAGTAGCTCATATAATTTCAACAAACGGTGTTTTTTCCCTGTGACATTGTCGGCGCTTTCCTATATTCTACGTGCATCAGATGTTCAAATCGACTACATCATAATCCAAACATAAAAATACTTATTGTTGTACCTTCTGAGTATAGTGCAAGTCTCAAGTATTTCGTAACAAGGAGTTTTATACCAGCTATATAAGATAAGATCGTGAGATGGAAAAATGTTGAAGTTGAAACATTTTTAACATTTCCGACCCAATAGCGTTCAGTGCATTTGGAGCATATGAAAAAAGGAGTGTGACATTTCTTCTGGGAGGGAAAAATGTATAATGATGTAATTATGAACAATGTTAGATACTGTTTAATGTTGTAGCATACGCTCGTTTTGCTTAACTAGGAAGCACTGCCATTTTGTGTTTACTCTCCATTAGTCTAACTGCAATATACAACTTCCTTATCATTTATGAAGCTGCGGTCATCTGCACACAGCGGATGGCTCATCGTACGCACAAGCTTGCGATTGTACAGGGTGTCCGGCTATAAATTGCCCCCCCTTTTTTATATGACCTTCCAGAAGAAAAAGTTGTGCAAATATATATAAGCTATAGGGTCTAGAAGTAAGATTCTCATGGAATATATTTTTCCATGTCTCAGAAAAGTGGTATTGAATAGAGTTGTATTTGTTATATGGAATACACTGTAATTTTCTAGAAGCAATGATATTCCACTTTTTTCTGATTCGAAATATATTATAGTGTGTCATATTTTATATGTTTTTATTTGTTTTGCTAAAAAGTGTGTATCTGAGTTCGAACCAGTTAGCATCTAGCCTCCCGTCTATTCGTCATTGTCTGTCATAGCGGTCCATAGAATCTTTGCTCTTGGTTAAAGTCTTGTAAGTCAGTAGGTGTGTCAGGTACTGTTGCTCAGATACCAGATAAAGTAGGGGAGACAGAAGAGAAAAAGATAGAAAGGAAGAAAGGATTGAGAGTAAAGAAGAAACAAGGGGTGCCTTGGCATTCCTAGCTAGTATTCGGTAATTTCAAGTTGATCATAAAATTAATTCACAGATTGGTTGTTGAAGGAAAAGTATAACATTGGTTGGACCCGAAGTCGCACAAATAAACTTTGTTAACAATGCGAGACGCGGCCTTGTGTGCTTGCGAACTTGACTGTGTAGTCTACTGACTCAGCGCAGCACATTGTTTCTGGGCGATTCCGCGATAACGTCGCTGCGCATGTTGTTCGATGTAGGCCTTTAGGTAAGGGATGTCAAGGTTTCTCTGAAAGCTCTTGCTGGAGACATATCATGGGGTGTTAGTGATTGTACGCAAGGTTCCGTTCTACAAAACCTGCAAGACTACGCAAATGCGTTTTGACGAAAAACCACCAAGCCACACTTGCCTGGGTGATCGCATCTTGTATAGCCGAACTTTGTTATTCAAACTCAATACATAGCGTAGGGTAGAGTTTCCGAAACGAGATTTAGTATTTAATTTTTAACGCTTCAGTGTGTTTTTACTATGACATCCCCTTGAGAATAGTGACAGCAAGATACTTAGGAGAACTTTCTCATGGTACCAGAGCTCCGACTCGCCCATTCCAATACCTCGTCCACCCCGCACATTGCAGCCTGTTGTGAACTAGATTCCCAGGACGCGACTGGGCCAGCAGGGTAGTGTCATCAGCATAAAGATAGATTTCACAGTTGCTGGGGCAAGGGGCGTCATTAATAAGAAGTGAATAAAGGACTGGTCTAAGAACCAAACTCTGAGGGACACCGGCCGGGATGAGCCGTGTTGCCAACAGAACGTTATTAATTTTGATCTGAAATCTCCCATCCTCAAGGAAGTATTTAAAAAGTTTTAGGAACCAGGAGAAATCCTTATGGCCCGTATGCCACACCTTGTCAAATGCCTGTGAAACATCCAGAAGCAAGATGCCAGTACTTTAGTTAAGAGTATAGCCCCTGGTTACTCGTTCGACAAGCCTAACCGCCTCTAGCTCCGTACTATTCTCAGACCGAAAGCCAAATTTCACGTCAGGGCTCACATTGTGGTCTCACAATAAGTTTTCAAAGTGACGTAAGATCACCTTTTTAGCGAGCTTAGAAGGAGCTGACAGAAGACTAATGGAATTGTAATCCTGGGGAGATACCGAATTCACCTTCTTTGGAATCATTATAACATCAGCGGTCCTCCACGCAGCTAGCAAGTACTGGGTCCTTAGCATGGCATTGATTATTGCCACAAAATAACTGCGAAAGCAGTTTCAGGGCCTTATTAGTGATTCGATCTTCTCCAGGTGCTTCACGCATCTTGGCTCTGCCGATGTGCAACGCGAGATATCAGGAGATTCCGCTGCTGTGCCATGCAACTTTTCAGTTGAGGAATCTTCTGAAGACTCCTCTGAGAGAAAAATCACTGAGGAAGGCGCTACTACCACTGACGCCGTTGGCCCTGAAATATCTCCTGACGGATCTTACAATGTGTAGCTCCTCGTCGAGGATATTATCAAAGTCATAGTTAGAACAGAACTGACTTTCCATCGTGTCAGCGGAAACCTCGACCTGTTTCTCTGTCTTACAGGCTATGCCCCTAGGACCCAGCGATGTGCGGGAGTTGTTCTCGCTTTCCAATTCTGAGCGACTTTCCACAGAGGAATACTTGAGCCAAGCATCCGCGACAGAAAGTCACTCCGTCGCTCATTACGGAATTCATGAAGAGCATTTCTCACTTCATGAACAAGATTCGTCGCTCTACGAACGTCGTTTGGATGACAAGACCTCCTCGCTTGCTTAGTTGCTGCACGCTGCAGAGCTTGCTGAACGGAACTTCTCCACTACGCTTGAGCAGCATCTACATCGTTCTCATCATCTATGATCGGGATATTGGGGAACTCTCTAAGAAGCCCCTTGCATAGCTCCCAATCTACCCGTTACCTTGGAAGAGTTTCCTCTTCCAAACTTTTATCTAGCCTTCTATGCAATCTGGTAAAGGGTCGAGATACATAATGATTAAATGACGCACAAACTTCAAACTTTTGACTAAAGTCTGACATATAATTACGTATTTGAGATCAGAAAAAAGGGGCTATCATTTTCACAAAAAAATAAATACAACTATATGGTCTCACTTGTCTGAATCAATCGCCAGACAAAAATCTATTAAATTCATGAAAAGCTCCATATCCGATCCTACAACTTTTTGATCTAGAGAGTAATACAAATAAGTTAGAGAGGGATCAATTTATAGCTGGACCCCCTATGCAACGAGTAGAGTAAAATGATCAGTACTATAATTAACTGATATTGGAATGGTTGATCTAAAAGATCCTGCTTTCTCAAAAACGACCCAATACACTGGGTTAGGCTTTTTTCGTCTAATATAGAGATCCTATTAATAATGTGTAAACTCATTCAACCATAACATAAAATCAAAGCATTGACACCAACTAGGGATTCATCGTTGAGTAGCTCGATATTGCGATAATCTGCTTGACTTTTCTTGAAAGTAAAATAACTTAAAACGTTATTGCTTGACCTGACTTGAATTTTTTATTGTTATACTTGTCTTGAAGTGAAGTATTTTCAAACTACTTGATACTTGATAACAAATTATATTTTTGACCTACTAAGGGCCGTATCGCCAGTCGTTTCTACCATTCAAGGCCTCCTTTATTTTCATGGTTTTTCCTCTCTTTCAGAAAATCAGGCATATTTCTACGTAGATTGAACCTGTTTCGTGTATCCGCTCTATTTTGAGGTTATACAAATATTTTGTTTTGTAATTTTAAATAATTTGAGGCTCGTAAAACTTAATTTTTATCATCTGTTTTATCAGCCTAGATTACTTACGATTCAAAAGGAAAACATAACCTTACAATACGAGAGCTCTGACCTTGGCATGGAACAGAAGACGTTTAGAAATAGCCCAGCCTTTCTGAAGAAGAAAGAAGACTATAAAAATCAAGGAGGCCATGAAGGCATCCTAAAATTATAGGAACGTCTGACGATAAGACCCTCAAAACCTTCAGTATTGTATTCTTTTGTATTTTAATGTAAATAATCATATAGCAAACCGAAAATTGTCACTGTTATCTCAAATCATGCATGCAAACAGCGTTGACGAACCACAAAATATAAAATCTGTAGAAAGTATCGTTAAGATTCAGTATATTGAAGGGCAAAATCAGTAGGTAGAAAAAATCAGGACCGGCGCAAGATCAGCGGCGGATCAAGGGTTTTTGGCTCAAGGTTCTCCATAAATATAAAAACAAATTTGAACTTTTCTTTAAACAAAAAGATGACAACTCAACTAATTTTACATGTTTTTTACAACACCAAGGTATAATGTCCATAATCTTTAACTATTGTACATATCGTTCAACAGACACAACTTAAAATAATCATTTTGATACAGCAGTGTAGTTCAAAACACGGTCACCTCCATTGTTACCATCACTATAACATTAACGTGTTAGGATCTTCATGTATCTTAACCTGTAGCTAGCAGCCGAAACACTAGCTAATTTTCCAGTTTTTTTTTTCATCAGCTAGTGAAGATATTTTTTTTCAACTTGATTTGACGTTTTTATTGTTCAATCATTTGTTATACGATTACTTTAAATTATTTTGTTAAACATGTATTATTCTCTCTGAAACTTGTGACAAATAAAGTCCTTCCATTGTGTATTTATAATCTACTCGTATATATTACAAGAATTGTCAAGTAATATCAGGACTACTTGCATTTTCAGGTACTTGATAGTCAGACGTAAAAACAACTTGACTCCGAAACACATGTCCTAAAAATTCTTGCACAAAATATTTATGATATTTTTTTTAATGAAGAAAAGATATTCATACATTGCAGCACAACGTATGCCGTAACAGTTTTGGCACGGAATATTTATCGGATTTTTTTTAATGAGGAAATTTATTTATACACTAACTAGTTCATCATCATAAATTACAGCTCAAAACTTATTAATACTATCGAATTATGTGGGGTGGCCTATTCTGCTCTGCCAGATGCAACTTTCTTCTAATGTCTCTCATGAGGTCCTGGACGGAATTAGATCAATTTCTCTCAGTTTTTCGAAGATTTGCTGTCTTAACTGTTCTTCATCCTGAGCTTCTCAGCCCCCATGTTAAACCTTCCTAGACAGTAAAGCCTAAAAATCCTCTATTGCGCCAGTCTCCTTGTTGATATTCCAACCTGATTCTTTGCTCTTTTCACCAATCTCTCTATTACTACATTTTCTTATTATTAATTTATACGACATCTTAAAGCGAACACTTCAAAATAAATAAATGTCAACTGACAGTAAAGTAAGTAACCAAGCTTTTGTTCTCGAAGGCGCCTTGGTGTTATTTTGTGTTTGTTAAAATTAAAGCCAATGAATTGCGTGCCAAAACGTTAAATGAGATTACTTATATCTAATACGACAAGTAGCTTGAAAATCAGGTCCCGTAGTGAATCGCTAATGCCAACATTGTGCTTGTTCACTGCAAATATTATATTTGAAATTTCAACGGATGAATGATTAAGGTCAGAGATAATCCATGTAGTGGTGATTAGACTGGAGAGCGAACGATTTTTTCCATCTTGCTGATCAAGTCGTGCTACAGAAGTCCTGCGACCAAATAGGCAATCAACACCGAAAGATGCACCTCGGATGGGTACAACAAAAAGTATTTATCTCAAGGCATCAATATTGAAGTAATGTACATAGTATCTTGTGCCAATTTTACGTGTGATTCAACAGCAGATCAAATTGTCCTCAATTAGGATAGGATAAATAAATGTTTGACAGCAGGTGGTTTCAAGTAAACTGACGAAATGAACGAATTAATGTGACTCTGGCCCAATTAATAGTAACTCAAGTTGTCTTTGCTGATTAATAGTTTGTGACTTAGACCGCCTGCTGAATTCAGTGTAAGTTACTTGTTACATTATCGTAAATGAAGGATAATGATATGTTTGTAATATTTTATGGTCAAATATACCATTTTTGAGAAAATGATGTCTGTTGTAACTATCCATTTGTTACTTCCTAACTATTCAGTTACGAGGTATGTCTTTTAAGTTTTGCATATAGAAATATAGTAGGCCGCGCGGACCGAACGTCAGTACTGAATGTTAACCTC